AGCAAATGAAATCAATTATACAATAGAAAAAAATTGATAAATATTAGAGTGAAATTTAATAAAATTGAAAACAAAACATATACACAAATAAATTAAAGAAAACCAAAACCAGGTTCTGTGAGAAGATCGATAATATTGATTTAGCCAGCCTGATCAAGAAACAAAGTAAAAATATAAATGATAAATACCAAGAATGAGAGAAATGATATTACATATTTTACAGACATTAAAAAGTATAATACAGGAGTATTACGAAAACATGTATTCAAATAAATATGTATATATACATATATATATAGGTAAAATGAAGACATTTTTAAAAAGGTACAAACCACAATCCCTCACTCTACAAGAAATTAAAACTTGAAAAGCTTTATATCTATAAGAAATATATAATTTGTAGTTAACATTTTTTTAAAAACAAAACAACAGTCTTGGTTCAAATATTTTCACCAGTGACCTTTATATAAACAATGTATGTTCTATCCACATTTTCCCCCAAAACTTGAAAAGAAATAAATATTCTATTACTAATACTATTACTAATACAAAAATTACATGGAGATATTTCAAGAAAGAAAATGCATATATCAATACTCCTCATAAACATAGATGCAAAAAGTCTTAGCAAAATTTTTGCTAATAAAATTCGGCAATATATAAAAAAAGATAATACATCAAGACAAAGTGGAGTTTACACCAGAGATGCAAGTTCGGTTTATCATTTCATAATAAATCAATGTCATTTACTACATTATCAAATTTAAAAACCATATGATCATCTCAACAGACGTGCAAATGCATTTTACCAAAACAAAATTAAAATTAAAAAAACCCTCAAGACTTAGAAAATAAAAACAAAAACACTTTTAGCAAACTAAGAATACAAGGAAAGTTTCTCAAGCTTGTAAAGGACATCTACTAAATTCATACTTAATGAGAAGAAACTAATTGCGTTCCTTTTAAGATTAGCAATAAAGTATGTTTATTCTCTCTACTTGTTTTCCACCTTGTACCAGAGCTTCTAGTTAGTGCAATAACATAAGAAAAGTAAACAAAATACATTTATATAAAAAAAGAAGCTTAGGTTTTTTTTTTTTAATTTTACTTTAAGTTCTGAGACACACGTACAGAACATGCAGATGTGTTATATAAGTATACGTGTGCCATGGTGGTTTACTTGCAGATAGGATAATTGTTTTTGTGGAGAATCACATGGAATTCACTAAAGTGCTACTAGAACTAATGAGTCAATTTAGCAAGATTGCAAGATACATGATAAATACGCAAAAAGAAAAAAAAAAAGGAATTCATGTTGGGTACAAAGAATCGGACATTGAAATAAAATAAAATATCATACATAATAATGAATTACTTACCTGATAAAAGACTTGCAACCAGGGTATTTAAAAAATTCTGCATCAAGAATATAAAAACTGAAAAAGAGAAAACAAAAAATTTTATTTAATTAAACTAAAGAGCTTCTGCACAGCAAAAGAAACTATCATCAGAGTGAACAGGCAACTGATAGAACGGGAGAAAATCTGTGCATATGAAGCAATGCACAATATCATCTGTCATTTGGGAAATACAAAATTAAAACCCCCATGAGATATCACTATACAGCTGTTGGAACACCAAAAAGTAACCAAGACTAATGACTTTGTGACAGAAAGTAAACAGTAGCTGGCTATGCAGAAGTGGGCAAGGAAGATTGGGAGGGAGAAACTACAAAGAACATGAGAAAACATTTGGGGATGATGAACATCAGGAAACTTTAAGGGTATTGATATGTTTATTATCTTAATGATAATGATAGTTTCATAGATATGTACATATGGGTCAAAACTCATTAAATTATACATTGTAAATGCATCCAGAATAAGTTCAGAGACAGTTTCCAGAATTAGATGGAGAGTTATAAAACATGAAGCCCTAGTATAATAGCACATTCATTAAAAATTTCATGAGAGACTAAGGAAACATTTTATTATCTTAGTAAGGACGATGAATTTCTTACCCAGGAAAATATCTGGATTTGGTGCATGTAGGTGTGTATAAGTATGTATGTGTGTATGTGTATGTATATATTAATGTTAGGGGAAAACAAACATTGAAATTAAATATTGTACACAATAGCAAATTACCTAAAAAAGTAGATGATGTGCATATATACATACACATATATATATATATCCATGTGACATAATGCTCTTATTTTTGAAATTGGTTTAAACATAATATCCATTTCACAAGATTCTCGTGAAAATTAAATGAGTTAACATTTAAGATATTTATAATGTTAGCCAGCCCAACATAAGTAAGTCCTTGAATGCTAGACATTATTCTTGGTCAGAATTAGTTGCTTTATATATTCATAGTGATGTTTCGAATATCCTCAATAAACGTTTTAAAGAAACTTTCGTCTTCCTCTCTCAATCCAGCAATGCCCAGTTGGTTAATATTTGTCTTAACATCTGCCTCTCAAAATTATTACTTTAACATGCTAAGTGTACCTAGGTAATCTGAAGATTATATGTTTTGCCTTATCCATCAACAGTTAGTTTATTTTTATTGCTATATAATTCCTTTGAGATTATACTCATCACTTTATTTCCTTTCCACTTACATAATTTTAAATTACAATTTTTGGCATAAATGAAATTGATCTTATTACCTCTCAAGGTAACAGATAACTATCTATCTGGATAAAAGTTACTTTTCTTCATGGAGATATCCGTATCTGTTTACAGTGGAGTGAGAAGGAAAATTGATCCATAAAAATTAACTGAGTCTAGTTAAAAAATGCTGTTTTATTATTTTCATTTCTAATTTGTCTCAGAATTTTTCATTGTCTCATGTTTGAAGAGCTCACCCATAAATAAAGCACACTTTTCTTTACAATCTATAATCAATCAGGAAGCAGGGGAATAAACATCTATAGCTGCAAGTCATCAATTAAGATTTTAAATGTTTATGATGCCATGATGACAACCTCAGTGTCTACATAGAATTGTGATGCATGTATTACCTAAAGAAGCAAACATATTTGTCTTATTCAGTGGGCATGGACTCCTCTCTCCATAGATGATAGATAGATAGATGATGGATAGATAGATACATAGATATATATAAATAGATTCATAACTGTATATACAAATACTCATACTGACTGCACACACATACAAATTAATACATATTCATATGTAACCATATATAGACATAGTTATACACATTTTGTATATGTATGCAATATTTCACACTGCATTTAAATACAAATTTTGATACATTAGTTGGTAGATACATGGGCACATTTGTATATACATGTATATACATGTATGTACTTATATATACATGTATATACTTATACGTTAAAAGTACATAATGTACTTTTAATATTTTGTGTGCACTAACCTAGCAAGACATTCTTAATTTCTTGTGCACAGGAATGTAAACTATATTTGAATGTTCTTTCACTCTGAAGGAAACTACAGAAGTTAGAATTGGTTAGGCAGGATGAATGAATAAATGTGAATTGTTACATGTGAACTTGGTTAATGCAAATTTTGCTAGCTGTACATACATTTTGTAGACCTAATAATTTTTGAAAACTATTTCCATGGCTGTTTATGTTTCATGTGGAAATCTAAATGGGATCTTACAGGAACTGGATTAAAGAATTTAGCTCTTGTCAAATATTGCTGGTCTCTGCTTTTTAATTTTTCTTTCCTCAGAGTTCTCCTGCCTTTAATACATGCTTAGACTTAGTAGGCCAGAAGTAGAACTCTCTAGCTAATATTTTCCCCTTCTATTGTACAAAGGAATTGTTCTTTAATGCTTACATGGTTATTTGAGTTTTACCATAGAATGCTGTGCACTGCAGTTTTGCTTTGAAATGAATGATCTTCATTTTTGTTTCAAGGTAAACAATTTTCTGCAGTGTTTTGTTGCATATTGTTTGGGGTCATTCTGTTGCTTAGACGTAGAAGGGGATTTTTAAAAATAATCGCTGCTGTGAACAATTAACTGTTTGATCATCAACGCTTCGTTTATTTTTTTTCTTCATGTTCTTCCTTTTGTATTGGGTTTAAGTCCCTGTCTGTCCTCTATGACACATCAGGATATGACTAGCTGGTACCACTCACAGTGGAGGCGATTTCATCTTTGTTCAAAAGTACTCTGTTTCTCAGAAGTCATACAGACATCTTAGAAAGAATGGCTGATCAAATTGTTTTTGGCAGTAGTTAAACTTATCTGACCACATACTCTCTTTGTTTAGGATTTAGAACATTTTCCCCTTTTCATTTCAGAGGATATAATCAGGCTTAATTTCTCCCTGTATCTTCTGCACATTTTGCTCTTTAAACGTTTTATATAGAAAGAGTGATTCTCAGTTGTTCTGGACTTATCTTCCAGTATAAAAACTTATTATTGTTCAGCAATGTAAGCAGCAGAGGTAATACCCCATTTTGAAACTTCCAATTGGAGCTCTATTTTCTAGACAGTGAATAAAAGGCTATTTTATAAATAGCATTTCACCTCATTGTTTGTATCATTTCTTCCATTAAACTAGGTTCTGTGTACATATGAAAGCTGGGTGAAAGATTTGGCAAGAGATTGGTATGAACCAGCTGAAAAATGATGTACTCCCCTGCTGAGAGTCTCGTCTAATTTCCTTCACTTTTCCTGGACCTTGAGAGAAAAATGACAATTGATGTTCTTTGGGAATTGGTTTAAAGATGATGAAGGACATTTCGGTGACAATGAGTGTTGTCCAAATAAAAGGCAGGGACAGACCTAGAGGCATACAAAATACTGTGTTTGTTGGGGCAATGAAGGGTCTAAACAAGAAGAAAAATAAAACTTGTCATTATTATACATTTTATACAATTTTCAGTCTTATAAATTTATAAAAATAGTGTATTGGCGTTCATCCATGCACATCGGTAATTTGGTAGAGAGAATCCTGACCCAATTAAGTATTAACATCTTGTACTGTAGTTTCTGGGGATAATTTCACAGAACACATAAATTAGTTTTCTATGTGTGTGTTTAGAGATTGCTCGGCAAAATATAATGGTATTTTAAAAACATACATGCAGCCCGCGCTCTGCCGCTGCCGCCGTTGCCGCCCCCCTGCCGGCCAGCGTGGGAAGGAGTTGACGGTCGCCTTCGCCGCCGCTCTGGGGAGAATGTCAAGCCAAGCCAAGGAGAAGCAGCAGAAGCGACTGGAGGAGCGAGCAGCCATGGATGCTGTGGATGCTGCCAACAGGCTCGGAGACCCTCTGGAGGCTTTCCCAGTGTTCAAGAAACACGACAGAAACGGGTTGAATGTCTCCATTGAATGTAAGGGAGTGTCTGGACTGGAGCCAGCCACCGTGGATTGGGCCTTCGACCTGACCAAAACGCATATGCAAACCATCTATGAAGTGCAGTTGGAAATCAAGGTGCGGCGGAAAGGCCTGGGGAAATTCCCCATACAGACCCTGCAGCTCACGGCCAACAGCACACAGATGAAGGAGGTTATGTTAACAGTATTCAAATACCATCATGGCGCCTACCAGTTCTTCAGAGAAGCGCTGCCGTTTGAAATTGATGACTCTTCCCCCAGGATGTCCGGTGGCTGTGGGGAGGATTGCTCCTAGGAGATCCTGAGCCGGAGGACCAAGTTTGGGGACAGCCAGCACTCCCGCGCGGGTAGGCACTGCGGTGGTTGCTGCCACTGAACTCTCAGAGCCACTTTCAAGTCACAATGCTCTCTCCTAAGGCCTTTCCTCTTTCCTGGTCTCGCCGTTTGTCAGGTGTCCTCAGAGCTGTGGCCTCCCCAGCCCTACACGGGCCAGGGGCACCCTGAGAGCACAGAACCCTGGGGAGAAGTGGTATGAGCTGCTCCTCCTCTCCTAGGAGACCAGAGTGCTAGGAGGGAAAGAAAGAGGGAGGGAAGAGTGGGTGGGGCCTGGCAGTGAAGCTCATCCCCCACAGTGGCTGCCTCGTCACTTGGCTCCTGGGGCCAGCCGTGGAGGTTCTCCCACGTCTGCAGCTCCTAGAGTCCTGGCATCCTCCCCTCCCCTGACACATACACTTGGACAAATGGAACGTTTATGCCCACCTTTATGAAAGTTCTGGAGTCCTGGGTCTGGGGTTTGCTGATCCCCAAAGAGGAATACACTGGGTGTAAGATCTGGGTATAGAGGGAGGCTTCAGAGAGACTCACACTTTCGCAGATGGAATGCTCTTACGGAGACTGTGGGAAGGTCTTTTGTGTCAAGATGCAGGGAAGTGAAGAAAGCTCTTTCCAGCTGTTTTTATGGATTCATGGAGTGGGCTCATGTTGAGACCAGCTGACTCTGGGAGGAAGACTGCCTCTCTCCATCACTGTCAGTGAGAGAAAGGCTGAAAGGCCCAGGAATGAGGTGTTCTGTGGAACCCGCCATGGGGATGATTGCTTCTCTAGGCTCCTGGGATGTTGTTGCATTCTAAGCTTAACTTCCTGGTCTCATGGCCGTGACTTGAGCTTTTGATTCATAGAAGAAAGCCAGAGGTTCTGCTCGTTCTTGTCTGCCAGCCCTCACCGTTCTTTCTCCTCTGCCTCTCACCTCTACCCTAAATGCCTCTGCTCTTAGTCTCAAGGGGAGAATAACATCAGGGAGCCCCTCATCTTCCCCAGAAGGACTTCTCGTTTCTCGTATAGTTAACTCCCATTTCTTCTCATCTCTTGGTGCTGATAGCTCTGTAAGGGTAGGGCACCCCTCCCTGCAGTCACCCTCCCTCTTCAGAGAGACCCCAGCCAGCAGCAGGCCCCTCTGCCTGCACTCCTCAGCTTTGCCTCTCACTACCTCAGTGAGGCACTAGTGCCACTGCCATGGCCCAGCCGGGCCATAGCTCAGGCTGCATCAGGAATGCCTCTCAGTGGCGAAAACAGCTGCTTCTCTCTCTGGTGTCACCCTGTGGTAACAGGCTGGAGCAGGGGAAGCAGAAAGCCTTCCTCTTCTCTTATAGGATAGAAAAGCAGGCTCAGAACTAATGCTCCTCCTGATCTCTAGGCCTTGTTCTTCTTCCAGGGAGAGAAAAACCAAATCCTTATCAAGGAAAAAGCACCGAACAGCTCCCTGTGGATCTCCCTGAGCTCTGCTTTGGGGAGTATCGTGAAGGTTCCATCCTTCGTGAAGTAGCTCTCACGGAGGTCTATTGGTCCCTCTGACCTCAGCATCAGCTCACATCCCACCCTCTGCCCAACTCTGGCAGTCTGTCCTGGCAGATCTCCCCAGAGTGGTCCTTGCTTCTCACCTGGATTCCTGCTTGTGCAGGAGCCTGTGTACCCAGAGCCTCCCTCACCCAGCCTGGCCCCTCTGTTGAGCACTCTGCACCGCTCTTGATGGGCAGCAGTGGGACTGGGTACTCCTTAGAGAGGGCCTTGCGGCTTTACACTGGAATAAGTCTGCCTCTGCGTCACCCTGCTGCCTCCTGGTGGGTTTCATCCCAGGGAGAGATGACATTGCTGGAGGGGTTTGGTGGACTCCTAAGAATCATGAAACCACAGGAGCATGTTTAGGAAGAGATTTTTCTCTGGTCCCTGTCTCTCAAAGACACAGATGATAAATATTTATTGTCTTAGATCATGGATTCCTCATACCTCTCACTCAAGGGAACCAAAAGGAATCCCCTGTGTTCATTCCTTGTAAGGTGAGCTCAGTGTACATTGTCTCTTTCCAGTCACTGGATGCGTGGCACCAACTGGTCAACGGGTGCTTGGTGCCATACCCTGCTAACCCCAGTCTCTGCAGGCCATGTCACGAAGGGTTCCTCAGGAGGTCGGGACTAGGGTGGGAGAGGCACTGTCTGAGACTTGCAATCATTCTCGTTGGTGTTGAGCCCATTCATTTCCAAAACATCTGTCTTTCTCCACTTCCCACAGGTCTTGGTTTTGAGAAACATAGCAGGCATGGCTGGGCGCGGTGGCTTACACCTGTAATCCCAGCACGTTGGGAGACTGAGGCAGGCGGGGTCACCTGAGGTCGGGAGTTCAAGACCAGCCTGGTCAACGCGGTGAAACCCCATCTCTACTAAAAATACAAAAATTAGCCGGGCGTGACTGTGGCCTGTAATCCCAGCTACTCAGGAGGCTGAGGCAGGAGACTCGCTTGAACCCGGGTGGCAGAAGTTGCAGTGAGCTAAGATCAGCCATTGCACTCCAGCCTAGGTGACAGAGCGAGACTCCATCTCAAAAAAAAACAAACAACAGCAACAACAACAAAAAAAAACAAAGAAACATAGCAGGCCTCTTGTACCAGGTTTTTTGTTTTTTTATTTGTTTGGAGCATGTTAAGATTTTTTTTAAAAAAAAATGTTAGTTATATCCACCCTATTTCAGGTTATATTTGTTGGTATCAAGTATATATAGGACATGTGAATGGTTCTTTTTAATCCTTTTTTTTTTAAGAGGAAATTCGGAAGATAAACTTCTTGACACATATATATATATATTTTTTTTCTTTAGCTGTTTGTTATCACTGGAATCAAAGGGAAAAAGTGATCTCTTTTTTTTGCATTGGTTTTATTCGTATGTCACAAATCAAAGACACTTTGTTCAAAAAATATATATATATATGCAAAGCTTGAACATTGAAAGTGAATTGCTGATATTTAAAAACCAAAGTAAAAATAGGAATTCTGCAAAGGGTATTATTTGAAAATGAGGAAAACTTAAAATAGTTTTATAATATTTAAATTATTATGACTAATAAAAGGAATACAACTTTATAGAAAAATAAGAAAATAATGAATCTTTAGTTAAAAACTCTTGTATTTTCTTGTTTGATGGTGCTAGAATTATTTAAAACAGCACTTCATGATAAAATTTAGGAATAGACTCCATCTTGGAAAAAAATATTATATTAAAAATTTAGGAGTAGAGACCTTGGAAAGGGGACATCAAAGAGAATATGTTTAATAATTTGTAATTACTCTATTACAGAATATTACTCTATTCTGTTTTTAACAATTAGTATGCTCAGCCAACAGACACATGAAAAAATGCTCATCATCACTCGCCATCAGAGAAATGTAAATCAAAACCACAATGAGATACCATCTCACATCAGTTAGAATGGCAATCATTAAAAAATCAGGAAACAACAGGTGCTGGAGAGGATGTGGAGAAATAGGAACACTTTTACACTGTTGGTGGGACTGTAAACTAGTTCAACCATTGTGGAAAACAGTGTGGCAATTCCGCAAGGATCTAGAACTAGAAATACCATTTGACCCAGCCATCCCATTACTGGGTATATACCCAAAGGATTATAAATCATGCTTCTATAAAGACACATGCACACGTATGTTCATTGCGGCACTATTCACGATAGCAAAGACTTGGAATCAACCCAAATGTCCATCAGTGACAGACTGGATTAAGAAAATGTGGCACATATACACCATGGAATACTGTGCAGCCATAAAAAAGGATAAGTTCGTGTCCTTTGTAGGCACATGAATGCAGCTGGAAACCATCATTCTCAGCAAACTATCGCAAGAGCAGAAAACCAAACACCGCATGTTCTCACTCAAAGGTGGGAATTGAACAATGAGATCACTTGGACACAGGAAGGGGAACATCACACACTGGGGTCTATTGTGGGGAGGGGGGAGGGGGGAGGGATGGCATTAGGAGATATACCTAATGTAAATGACGAGTTAATGGGTGCAGCACACCCACATGGCACATGTATACATATGTAACAAACCTGCACGTTGTGCACGTGTACCCTAGAACTTAAAGTATAATAATAATATATATATAAAAAAGAAATACCCTTCAAGTTAAAATATGTTTTTAACATAAATTTTTATATGTTTGATGCATTCTGTTTCTACTTTATAAACTATATGCTTATATCTGTTTTCTTCTTCAAAGTTTGTTGTTTTCTCCATTGGCTTGTAATAAATTTTTAGTAATATTAACATTAAAAAAAAATTAGTATGCTTAATGTTCTCTGTTCAATATTCTTAACTAGAAAATTACTATAGCACTTTCATATATAAAACAGTCATCTTTAAATACACATTTGATCCATATCACCATGATGATTTTTGCCAAAGACAATTTTTTTCGTGATGACCAAATGAACTCTGGTTGCAGCCAAAGCATTTTCATTTGCTTTGCCTTGTAACCAAAGTACTTTCATTTGCTTTGCCCTATGCTGATGTCAATAATATTCTTTTATGTAAATGCTTTCTGTCAAATGGCAATTTTGTTTTTCTTTTGTGAAAACTGCTTTGAAACAAAAATGAAATAGATTTTGCTTCTTTAAAACATGTGAGAAAATTGCTTCTTCACTTCTCCCATTTAGTACTCCCCATTAGTTTTTTTTTTTTTTTCTTTTCTGTTTTTTTTGGGGGGAGGGGGCGGTGGAGTCTTAACTATGTTTGTGCACAAGGTCTTTTTAAGACATAATTATAAAACCAGCTGTCTCCCATGTCTGTCCATCAGTGGGTTACTATGCGTTTTAATCACGTATGCTCATGGAGCATCAGCCATTTTTATTCAATTAGCTGTTAGTTACGTGCTTTTGCAAACTATAAAAACACTCTCACCTTTATTAACGATAACTAAAAATTAGCTAACACTAAAAACTAAAACTAAGCTAATAGGAAACTTCATGAAATAGCAACATCTTTCTTTTATACATCTATACTCAGAAAAAAGCAGTAATGTTTTTCATCTGTAATATTAGTAAATAAAACAGAACTAATATATAGACTTGCTTTAATAAACTAAAAAATGCAAAAAACAAAGTGTTTTAAACCCTAAAGGAGAAAGAGAAGAACCATATATATTCGCATTTTTAATATTACCCAATTCCTCTACCAAATATCAAATGATTGCTTTGGATCTGTCACTTTATTTTGATAACTCTTCTGAAAGTTTAGTTATAAACTTAAGAGTGATATAAAAGAACACTGGGGCTGTG